TGTATGTATGTATGTGTGTGTGTGGCGGCATGTCAGAGGACGCAGGGGAAACCTGTGGAGTGGACATGTGTTCCCTGTATAATGCTCTGGTATTGAGAGCAAATATTGGATTACCTGGCAGTCCTTAGAATACAGGACTTCATCCATGTTCTGCAGCTGGACAGTTTCTTCATATAGGTTTGACTTTTACAGCTTTTCCAATACTACTTTTGCTTTAAATAATTTTGGACTCGTACCCTTAAAGCGGACCTTCACCCTCTTTCTCTCAATTCACTGTTACCCCACTCCTCTGTAATAATTGGATATTGTTTATTTTTTTGAATTACCTTTTTTTCAGAGGGAACCCTCTGCGCAGTTCCTGGATTCTCACCTAGGTGAGAATGATTTATGTATTGCCCATTTCCTCTTGGGGTACCCACATCATGAATCCCAGGAGGGCTCAGGGTACTATATGGCACATGTGCTGCAGATCATCATCAGGGTGCTGGCCGTCTCTTTCTGGTTCCTGCAACTGGCCACCTGATGATAATTTGTAGCACATACACCAGGGGGCCAGCTTCAAGAACTCAGAAGAGAAAGCCAAAAGCGATGAGGTCAGAGGACATTTTTTTTTTTTTTTATTGCTATCTGTGCACTCATTGTGGAGATTAACCCTCACTTTTTCGAATGTCTGTTTTTGCCGCATCAGGAGGTAGGGAAAAGTATTGAAGTACCTGTCCAGTGACTGCTACTAAAGGTGACATTTCCACTCCATTTATAGAGATTTCTTGTCTCTGGGGCAGCTAGTAAAGGGGAACTCCCCAGTAGAGACAGCAAAAAAGAAAATGACTGAAGTTTGAATACTTCCTCACAAAATAAATAGGTAAGAGTTCTTGTTTAATTACTGCAGTGTTGCAGGATGAGGAAAGAAAGAGTCTGACAACAAAAATGCCCTTGCAGTGTCCACCACACCATGTTAATTTTTGCCTAGAGCTAGGGTCCCTCCATGTGTGTGTGACCAGTCCCTTGAAGTCTGTCTTCTAAGACACTCTGGCTGTGGTCGCATGCTTACCTCCTCCACATACAATGCAGTACGTGTTGACACTGGAGGACAACCCAGAGCGTCAGGGAGCAGAGGAGAGCACTGGAGTGGGGAATAAGGTAAGTAATGCATCCTCTTTCTCTATCCCCTATAGTTAATGAGGATTTAACCCTTGGGCGTGGTTTATGGGACTTTTTCCAGGCCAGAGTTCAGCCTTAAGGTGGCCATACACTCTACAACCATCGCAAGACTTTAGTTTTGCGATGGTTGTAAAGGGATTAAAAAAACGTACGATCTGCCTATCTTGGACAGGCAGATCGCACTCTCGATCATCGCAAGCCCGCCCCCCCTGAGGGGCGGGCTTCCGATGACCGCAATGCTGAACGTGCAGTGTGCGCGTGCGCACACCGGCCCGTTCAGCATTTGTCTTCCGAGCACCGTTCTAACCAGTCAAGAATCGTACGATTCCCGGCTGGTTTTCGAACATGCTGGTTCGACAGAAGACGTGCGACCGTACAGTAGAAACGGTCGCACGTCTCCGTTCACACTGCTCGATTATCGTACGAAAACCCGATCGCATACGATTTATCGTACGATAATCGTGCAGTGTATGGGCACCTTTACTGAAAGTAAGGCGTTCATGTAATCCTCTACATAAGCTTTAGAAATCATACACACCTCTAAATAAAATACCATGTGGGTCTGCTCTTGTATAACCTTGCCAACATTTACACGATCATATTATCTTCCATTTGTTCTCGGGTACATTTGCAGAAGAGATCCAGTTTTCTATGGGGGAATACAGTTCCTACTCCTATAGTTCCTGGCAGAATCAGTCATGAGAATAGTCTGAGTGCAGCATTGTGTGCCGCTCTTCTCTCTCTGATATTCCTGCTGTTTAGTCCAGCACTCGTGGGGATAGGAGCGCTATTCTTGTGTAAAGAATGAGTGTTCTCTGTGCAAGCACTGTTCTGATGCAGCTCTACCCGTCCTGGAGAAATTACCATAGAGATGAGGCTTTTGTTTGCAGAAGCATTATAATGTCCATGTTTTGTAAAATAAAAATACCTTAAAACTAATTTGCATTCAGCTTTCTTGTAGTAAGGTGGAAAATTATACAGCTATACAGCATGGTTGGTTGTTGTCTGAGGTTTGGATTAAAAACATGTTTTTGATTAGTTTGTGTGTTGGGACATATTGCTTCTGTATTCAAGTGTGTATTTTTCTATTTACTGTATTTATGCACTCTAAATATTTAATGCTCATGCATGCTTAAAGCTGAACTCCAGCCACAAAATCTTTAGATTTAGTATTTTTTAGATGGACTGATTAGAGTTTAGATCAATAAACAGAGATGTCCCCTGCACACCATACACCAATCGGGACCGATGCTTGAAATAGCAGCGGTGCTTGCAGTGATGTCCACGGATGGCGCCATGCAAATCCAGAAATTATAGCAATGAAGATCACTAGCATTCGCAGAATGGAATAAATCCAAAAGTTATTTTTATTGTAGAACAACATCACATGTATCATATAGCCAACATTTGGGAACCACGCAGGGTCCCTTCATCAGGGCAAACCTAGTGCTGTGCATTTAGGCTTCATTCACATGGATGTGCAGAGCTGTACAGTGGGCAAACCTGCACAGAAACCTGCACCCGGGAGGGACAGCTGGTGTGCGTTGCTGCCTGTTCAACTCAAAGACAGGATGTAAGCCTGAACTTGCACATCCGTACAGGTATGGATGCATGCCCTTGGACAAAGACTGTCTGGGGGGAATTTATCGATACTGGAGCAGCCAACATCAGGAGGAGCTTCTCCTCTTTAGTTTCTTCAGTTAAGCTTTGAAAATGAAAGGGGGCTTTAAAAAACTTCCAAGGAAGTTTGGGTCAGTGTGTAGACGCATCTTATCAGCACCAGCTATGCCTTAGATTTCTACATTGTGTAAATGAGGCCTAAAACAGTACATTCAGCTCAATGGGCTGCCAATGCAACAAAAAATGGAGCTACATTACTTTTTCTGATGAAGTGCATCACATTGCATGTTAATGCGTTATAGTGCATTGAGGTGCGCTGCAGCACACGTGTGTTAGAATTGCTTGGTCTTGCCTTGAGGTGCAGTTGAAATGAATAGCATTGTAACACACTAATATACAGTATATTAGTAATTGATGTAGATATACAATATTTTTAGTTAACAGTCCAGAGTGGAAATCCCATATTCCTCTTTGGAAAGTTTTACTTTAAAGCTTAACTCCAGCAAATGGCTAAATACACAGCACAGTATGGGGAGGAACTTTTTATCTTGCAGTTTCACTTACAGGTCTCTTCACCAGCTTGTGACTGGGCAGAGAAAGGAGTACACTGATGATCTCACCTCTCTGTCACTCTTTTCTCTCTCTCTTTCTTTCACTTGATCCTTGCACTTCAACACAACTGATTGTCTCCTTGTGCTGCTTTTTCCTCCTCCCTCTCAGCTCTGCTGTACAGGCTTGTGTTGATTTAAATAGGGAGGGTAATGAATAAATGACATGGCAGGCATTACTTTTATTGGCATCAGCTTGTATATTGGATATGATTCCCACATTATGTATAACTTGTGTGACTGAGATTGTGTCTGAGGGTCGCCTAAGGAAGCAGAGCAGAAAGGGATTCTGCTAAAAGCATAGAGTTTATTCCCTACTACTAGAAGCACTTGACTGTACGCATTTTCATGTATGAACTGTACGTATTCGATTTAGACACCACATAGGGAATAAGATAACAAAGAATTATTACTACTGCTGGACCAGTTTTAGTAGGGACTGTATCCCTCAGGGTTGCTGTGATTCTTTATTCTACAAACCAACATGCAAATGTTGGCTTTATGCAATAACATGGATATGTGTTTTAAATGTGGCGCTATTGGAGATTAAAGAACATGTTTTGTTACCTTTTTAAAAGTCCGATCTAATTGTGTTGAGAAAATAAGGGAGACATTCAGTAACAGTGACGGGAGGAAGAAGGAATGGACTACAGGAGTGGGGAGGTCACTGCACTTGTATTCCATTAAGAACTACAAGTCCCTCTGCCATGGTGGCAGCTTGGACTTGTTTCTCCATTCACAGGTCCCGTCAAAGGATGTGACTGTGTGGGCAGCAGCCTGAGGAGGTTGTGCTGTGACCATGTTTTATGTTACACCCTCAATATGGGTGTAACATGAAACATGGTCAGAAAGGTAACTTAGCCTTTAATAATTACCTGCCAACTTTTTTTGTAACCGGCAGACATATCTTTCTTTCTTAAAGAAGAAATCCGGGGATACATTCTTAACCCTTGCTGTGTGGGTGTAGCCCCACTACAAGGGTTAAGTTCTCACCCAATGCCGAGCGACATACCACCGCTGGAGTGGAGGAGGAGACATGCTGCATGTGACAGGACTAGGAGCTCGCTGGCTGAGGGGTTCGGGTGAGTATAACTTTGTTATTTTAGCACCTAGACAGAAATGAGTTCTTCTCTAAAATGACAGAATAATGCCCTCTCCTAGAATGAAGACATTTCTGGTGCATGTGACAGATCTTGTCCTCTACTTACAATACCTCCTATATAACCATAGCCTTTTAGAAGGTTTTCTGCCTAAATACTTCCTTTTTAACAGTTTAGTGTAAGCAAGGTACTATTTCTAGAAGTGGGATCTCAATAGTATAGGAACATTTAACTTATCTTGAAGACCTTCCTAATGGGCATGTGGCAGAAGGATTTTAATTATGTATTCTCTGATGATTTGGAATGACCTTCTTAAGAGCTGTTTGGCAATTACATTAACAGGCAATGCCGGTAAGATTGTATAGTGATGATACTTGATACCTATATGTTATCCCTATACTTTCCTGCAGTATCCATCTGCTGTTTTTGTTAAACATCAACAGAACTGCACTCATTATATTGGATTTAACGTGGCTGTGTATAAGCTGCGTTTCTTGTTTTGACAGCAAAAATGCATCAGCATATAAAGCCTTTGGACATATCTAAAATTCTACAAGTGGCTGAATCATTGGAGAACACTATATGTCGCTGTTTTGGTCCAGAAGGAGGACAGGTTCTCTTTATTAAATCCACTGGAGAGCTTATCATTACCAAAGATGGAAAAAGAATACTTGAGTATCTCTTACTGGATCACCCAGTTGCAAGGTAAGTGATTTTATGGCAGAGAGAGGCTAAGAGTAGCAACTACTTCAAATTCACATTTACACTGGTCTACAATAAGTTCATAGATAGTTTGCTGTAATCTTAGGTTAGGCTCAATACATTTAGATCTTGAGCTAACTGCACTGAAAGTCTTTCTTCCAATGAATTTACGTTACAGTTAATGAAGTCATAATACAAAAACTCTTGCAGGGTTATCCACAAAAGGGTGAAGAGGTTGGAGAAGGCAGGAGAAGTGAACAATCTGGGCCAACATAGCTGAATTGGACAATTTTTCGAAAATCGGCTATGTTGTTCTAGATCAGGGGTCTCAAACTCAATTTAGTCGGGGGCCACTGGACACATTTTCTAGTCCCGTGGGGGCCACTGCTATATACGGTACCAGTGTTGATGTATGCACATGTTACAAGCGGCAACTGTCACCTATTCAAATTTATGATCGGGTTACAGATGCTGCATGTAAACGCCTGCACACTGCATGTAATCATGTGAAAGGATTACATGTAGTTGGGAATCTGTCACTATCCCTGGATACACAATTGTGTATCCAGGGATAGTGATTGTTTTTGTAACTGCATGTAATCAACCCTCCCTCCAAAGCCTCCCAGCACACATATTAATGAAGCCCCCCCTCCCTCCTTTTTTCTTCCAAGCCCCCTCGCCTGCTTTCATCCGTGCAGGGAGGAGGCACATCATCATGCCCTGGTGATCTACCGGTGATCACTAGTAAGGTCTGCACTAGACCTTACTAATGATCCATCATTCGGCCGGAGCTCAGAACTGACAGAGCTCTGGCCGAAGCTGACAGAAGCAGCTCTGCATTCGTCGGAGATGCAGACCGTGTAGCTGCTCCCGCAAGTCGGGCACGCGGTCCGTGACCGTGTGCCCGACTTGTCAGCTGGCTGCGGGCCACTTAGTACCGGCTCGTGGGCCGGTACTTTGAGACCGCTGATCTAAAGCTTTAAAAAGAAAAAAGGCTGTTGTGCAATAGCATCAATTATTAAATAAGTGTTGGTTGTTTACTTTGTTTTCTTTCTTGAGCATAATAAATTAATTTCCTGCATCTATCGGCCTGTAAAGTGTGCGTGACTACTGACGCCCACATTCCCCCTAGACAGCAGTTTATCTTTATTGTACGGTATGTATGCACTAATTCCAGCAGCTATTACATAAAGGGAAACAGGTCTGTTTTACATACACATATGAATTCTGATTACAGTGTGCAGTTGGTTCCTTTTCTGCTTTTGATGTTTGTATGCATCGAGTGAGAACAGCTGATGCAGAAAAAGGAACCGATCAGTCACAGACAATAATAAAATGCAAAGTTAATTGTTCTAAATTTTGTTTTGCCTTAGAATAATCGTGGACTTTGCCTCCAAGCATTACAGTGTTACTGGGGATGGCGTGAAATCATTTGTCTTGCTGCTGTGTGCTTTCCTCCGAGAAATCCAGAGAGCAGCCGAGAAAAATGAAGACCTAATTTTTTCCAGGAGCTCGGCAGTGAAACTGACATATAAAAGTAAATGTCATGTGTTAAGACGAATAAGCGATCTGCTGTTGACTTTTCAGAGCACAGTGCTGGAGCCCATTATAAAAAGGGGCCTAAGACCGCACTTTCTTTCCGTGTACACAGACATGAAAGGAAATGTTCCATTGTGCAGAGCCTCTCTACAACAAACACTGGATACATACTTCTGTGGAAGAAGTGCATGCAACAACCAGAGCTTCATTAGTAGACTGGCCTGTGATTATCTTTATAAATGTTTATTTAGTGCTGATGGCATTCTGGACGTAGTCAGCTTTGTGGACAGATGCTTCTCTGAGCTCCACACACAAGTTCCAGGTTTTGCAGTTGATAATTCCAGGATTCTGCCAGGCCTAGTACTTCACCGAGATTTTTCAATATACTGTCCAGTAGAGGGAGATCTGCAAGCAATTATAGTGACAGATCAAATCCATCAGTCTCTTTCTGCACCCGGCATAGGCTTTGTTATTGTTTCAGATATTCAGCTACAGATTTCCCAGCAGCATCTGGAACAAAGGACTGAACATATAATGAAACAATTGCAGGATAATCACATCAAGCTGATATTATCAAGTGTTAAACAACATGAAATAGTTAATTTCTATGCTAAACTGCATGGTATATCTATAGTAGAATGCATCCCATCAGAAGATATTGATCTCCTGTGCATAATCACTGGGGTAACTCCTGTGTGTACACCACTCCGTGGCCATCTTCAGAATAACTCTTTTCTGGTAAAGACTTGTCAGCCCGTTTTACTTGGTGACAAAAAGTACCTACAGCTTGTTTTCAGTGGCTCATTGGCCTTCAAGCCACACAGCATTGTGTTGTATGGGCCTATCAGAGGTCTGACTGAGCAGATTGCTTCATCTTTTCATGGTGCTTTTAAAATGCTTAAACAGTTATTCCAGCCAGTAGATGCCAGTTGGGAACAGCCACTAAATAACCCAGACTTTTGTAAACCAAATAGAAGATCGTCCATGGACGAACAAAGAGTAACTTGTAGCAATTGCCAGAATGACTCAGACTGCTGTGACTGCCATCTGCAAAGAATGGATCAATATACTCCTATACAGTGCACACACAATGTACCAGGAGACATTTCAGAATGGGCAATACGAGAACCAGCAGATAGCATAAGCACTTGTTCTCAGTCATGTACAGGTACATATAATATGTGTTTACATCAGCTAGAACAAAGCCTTCAACAAGCAGCAGAAGCAGAACCCTCACATTGTTTAGGTCATTCAGTGAATCTAAGAAGAAAATTACCTGCAGATGTTATATCTACAAATACTGGATTAGTAATTCCAAGTGGCGGAGTATTTGAAATATTATTGCATCATCATCTCCACAATTTTGCAAAAACGTGCCAAGAGCCAGAACTTGCAAAGATTTGTACTATGTTTGGAGAAGCCCTCTTATGCATTCCCAAACATATCTACCAAGCCAAGAAGAGAAGGGCTTGTTTTCCACTTGTATTTAAAGAATGCACTGATGCTTTGAAAAGCATGGAACCTATAGACAGAACCCAGACAGGCCGTGAATCAGTGTCCTGCAAGTACCAATTATTGGCTTCAGTGCTCCAATGCATTAGTAAACTTGTGACAATAGATTTAATTATTGGTGTCAAGAAAGGACCAAACAAATGTTAGTGTGAAGCAACCGACTGAGGCCATTTGACATGCTCAGCTGATAATTCTGTAGTTGTGCTCAGTATCTCATCCTAATGTTGTCTTTATTAAGTACCAACAATTTACAGCACTTTACATACTCTACATCAGTCCTTGCACTTAAGGAGTTTACAATTCAAGGTCCCTATCACACATGCATACATACTCCTAGACAGGAGTCAATACCCTACAGCAGTAATGAATTAAAAGGAGTTCCAGTGAATACAATTTTCTTCGAGCTGATGTCCAAATTGCGATTCAGACAGAACGGTCACTCACTCTGTGTCCATACAGCAGTCCACCATTTAGGCTGCACTTTGTGTATTTCCAGGCATAGAGCTAATCCCAACGCATTGCACTGTTTATTTTTTGTTAGAACTCCCTCTACTGGGTACATAGTAGGCACACATGTTCATTGGCATCAGATGCCATGGCAGCAGGGTTGGTTTTAAAGGAGAACTATGGGGTTAGGGCTTTTCCCCATAGTTCTCCTTAGGGTAACGGAAGGACACACACTAGCGTCCTCCCGTCACCCTAAGCTCAGTATACCGCGAGCTGTAGATCGCGGTATACTGAGACGCCGTAGTATTCCGTGAGCTGCTGCTCGCGGTGTACTGAGACGCTGAAGCGGATCCCGACAATTGTGCTGGGATCCGCCCAGCTGCGTGACTGACAGCTGGCTCTGCCTATCTAGAGGCAGAGCCAGCTGTACCCGCCCCTTCCTCCGTCCGTTCCGCCAGTCAGCGCTGGCGAATCGGAGGGGGGGAATCCAGCCACTCCCCTGTCACGGCAATGAGCCGTGACAGGATCGAGAGGTGAGCGAACGCTGGTATGTGTTCGCTCACCTCCCGATCTACTGAGCCGGCCTGTGACAGTCTCATTGTCACCGGTCGGCTAGAACTATGAGGTGAGTGAAAAGCACTCACCTCATAATTCTCCTTTTAATTTTTTTGTTTTATTATTTTTCACTTTTTGCTATTACAAAGGGGCTAACATGCCCCTATGTAACAGCATTTTAAAGTGACAGGTTCTTTTTATAGCGCTATCAGGGGTCTATTAGAACCCTGATGTCTCCCCTTCACTCCAGCACAGGAATGGGCTTCATCTTCTGTTTATCCGGCGCTTCAGCTTCTGACAATTGAAGCAGAAAGCTGAGAACACAGCACTCCATGCTTCAGTGATCACCAAGAAGTAGATCGGGGTCGGCTTACGCTTTCCATGACACTGTCGTGGTCCTAGGCTCCTTAATGGAGCAGGGAACCCACAAGCCACGGGAGGGGGGTACAATAGCGGGCTTGTAAAAGTGATCTGGGTGGCTGTAGAGTTGCCCAAATCACTTATAGTTATAGCAACCACCCCTGTCTGAGGTAATTGGTTGCTAGGACGCCACCAGTCCTAGTAACCAATGACGAAGGGGGGGCTGGCAGTGCAAACACGAACAAGTTTCTGATGCTTATTTTATTTGTTGTTTTGGGGCACCACTGCTGATGTTGCGATTACAGAGGTATGTGCGGTTATTGCTATGAGCCAATATTGTATTGCTACAGTCTGCTTAGTGCTTTCATTACACTGACAGGATTGCGTTAAATTATAATAAAACAAACAAAAAAGGCGCCTCCTCAAATATTATTTGATAATAAAAATTGTGAAGTGGTTAAAACTTATTCACAAACATGTCAGAAGGGATGGCAAAATATCATCCATCAGACCCTCCAAGGCCTCGTCGAGTCATAATAAACCACTTGGAGAAAAGAAGAATCTTCCGATAGCACTGGACGAACCAGTGGTGTAGTATGCACTTATGTGTTTTGGGGATTAGCACCCCCTTCATCAGAGCTGAATATCAACATGTGTGCCCAAGTATAAATACCCTCAACAGCTATCCCGACCTCCAAAAAGCCCCTCAGCACACACCCCTAGCCATGCTGCTCTATATATATATACATACATACAGTATTTGTGGTCAAGTACACATAATATGGAATGTCATATCCGAGTAACGACCTGAGATGGGCCCTGGTTGCGGAACGGCTACACCTCATGACACAGAAATGTAAATGCTTTATTGTTACAAACAAATATGAACATGCGTCAAACCATGGCTAACTTTTTCACAGCAACAGATATTTCACAACTGGGGTTTGGAATGTAGCAGGTATAGCAAGCGGATTTCCACCTTTCTAACTTTTTCATGGCATGAGAAGGCACGTTATGTTGGGATGCTTCTGATACAGCTCCTATTCTAAAGGAATGTCCAGAAATTGAGCCCGGATTAATACCTAAATTAACTGCTAAAATGCAAACATGTCTCATGAAGTTAGCTGTAGACTAAGCAATATATACACACTATATTGCCAAAAGTATTGGGACACCCCTCCAAATGATTGGATTCAGGTGTTTGGTAAAATGTCCTTGCTACTAAATATTCCACGTTCAACTGTTAGTGGTATTATAACAAAGTGGACTGGGAACAACAGCAACTCAGCCACGAAGTGGTGGCCACGTAAAATGACAGAGCGAGGTCAACGCATGCTGAAATGCACAGTGCGCAGAAGACCCCAACTGACTGCAGAGTCAATAGCTACAGACCTCCAAACTTCGTGTGGCCTTCAGATTGGCACAACAATGGTGCGTAGAGAGCTTCATGGAATGGGTTTCCATGGCCGAGCAGCTGCATCCAAGCCTTACATTACCAAGTGCGATGCAAAGTGTCGGATGCAGTGGTGTAAAGCACACCGCCACTGGACTCTAGAGAAGTGGAGACGTGTTCTCTGGAGTGACGAATCACACTTCTCTGTCTGGCAATCCGATGGACGTGTCTGGGTTTAGCGGTTGCCAGGAGGACAGTACTTGCCTGACTGCATTGTGCTAAGTGTAACGTTTGGTGGAGGGGAGATGATGGTGTGGGGTTGTTTTTTTGGGCTTGACCCCTTAGTTCCAGTGAAGGGAACTCTCAAGGCATCAGCATACCAAGACATTTTGGACAATTTCATGCTCCCAACTTTACCTGCGGGAAAAGGTAGTTGAACTGTGTAGAACAGGAAAGGGATATAAAAAGATATCCATGGAATTGAGAATGATAATCAGCAGTGTTCAAACTCTAATCAAGAAGTGGAACATGAGGGGTTCTGTTGAAATCAAACCACGGTCAGGTAGACCAACTAAACTGTGAGCCACAACTGCCAGGAAAATTGTTTGGGATGCAAAGAAAAACCCAGAAATAACTTCAGGTGAAATACAGGACACTCTGAAAACATGTAGTGTGGCTTTTGCAAGATGCACAATAAGGAGGCACTTGAAGAAAGATGGGCTGCATGGTCGAGTCGCCAGAAGAAAGCCATTACATTACTATCCGAATGGCACTCCTGGAAGTGCCGTCAACACCGAAAGTGATGTAACGGAAGTAAAATTATAATGTTGTAGGCTTACTTTTCAAAGATTTATATTTGCTAGCCATGTGTGGTTCGTTATGTTCCGAATTGAAATTCGGACAAATTTTTGTACATTTGGATGCATCCGAATTTCCAAATGAAAATATAACAAATCCAAACTGTCCGATAATGCAACCGTATTTTTTTCCAAATGTCATTCTGAATGAATTTGTTGTTAAACATAAAAAAGAAAAAGTGTCGAGTCTGCTTCCCAATTCATACCAGACCCTCTAGGGGGGACCCTAACACCAAAAAGAAAAATGCATGGGGTCCCCCCTAAAATCCCTTGCCAGACCCTTAATCCGAGCAGCAGCCTGGCAGAACACCATACCAGGTCACATGCCCTCGACATATGGAGGGTGCTTTGCCAGGGGAGGACCCTCTGGAAAAGCACCTTGTCCCCCTGTCGATGAGGACAAGGTCCTCTTCCCCACAACCACCAGGCCAATCTTTCATAAAGGGGGCACCCAGATGCCACCCCCCTCCCAAATGAGTAAAGGGAAAGTTGTTACCCCTAGTCATTCACCAAATAAACACTCCAAATGTAAATAAATACACCACAATGTAAACAAAAGTCCTTTATTTGAAAAAACTAAAGTTTTTGACAATTCTATTTAAAAGAAAAAGTGTCCATTGATGTAATCCATAGGTCAATCACGTCCTCCAGTGTTGTATTTCCACATCAATCACGACTCTTGCCAACCCATCCAATCCTGACGGATGCCACCACAAAATGATAGCTTTGACCCGAATGTCAACAAAGGAGTGGAAGGAGTTGTGACATCATGGGACTTGTTCTGCCCATTTGTTGACATTCCGGTGCAGTGCTAGCATACTGACTCATTATAATAGCTCTGCTTCCGAATCCAAATAACATTCAGGAGCAGAGCTACTATCATTGACAGATCTGCTGCCAAATGTCAATAAATCGGCGGAACAAGTCATGTGGCATCACAACATGCTCCGCCCCTTTGTTGACATTTGGGTAAGTGCTGTCATTTTGCAGCGGTGTTTGCTGGGATCAGACAGGGCGGCGGGCGGCATGTTTTTTTTTCTTTCAGTGAGTCGGCGGCTGTCGTCCATTGTGATTGATGGGAATCTGCATCGCTGGTTGTTTTTTTTTCATAAAAAAGTCCAA